TTTTTTTTTTTCCCCCCCCCCCCCCCCCCCGGTTTTTTTTTGTTGTTGTTGTTGTTGTTGTTTGTTTGTTTTTTTGTGTGTGTGTGAGTGTGTGATTCTTTATTATTCTCTCCCCAGTGGTTTTCAGTTTAAACTCTTTTGGCACATTCTTTTGGTATTTACATCAAATTTCTAAATATAGTCATGTGCTGAATAACAACAGGTTTCATTCAATGGCAGACCACACATACAACAGTGGTAGGAGCAATAGGTTATACTGCAGTAGGCTATACCATCTAGGTTTGTGTAAGTACACTCTATGATGTTCGCACAACAATGAAATTACCTAACGAAGCATTTCTCAGAACATATCCCCTCCATTAAGTGATGCATTACTATAGTACTAGTAATGCATTTCATTGTCTTGCTACTCTCTGGCGTAGGAGCTTGAGAAACTATCTCATGACTTCCTACTAAGGAAGGCGAAGATTTAGCTCATGTCTGTCCTTTCACCTCCTGTTTTAGTCTGTTTTGTGTTGCTATAACAGAATTACTTGAGTCTGGGTAATTTATAAAGAAGAGAGGTTTATTTGGCTGACGATTCTGGGACAGCTGCATCTGGCACGGGCCTCAGGCTGCTTCTACTCATGGTGGAAAGTGGCAGGCAGCCAGCGGGTACAAGCAGATCACATGGCAAGAGGAAGCAAGAAGAGAGGAAGCAAGAGAGAGAGAGAGAAGGTGCCATGGTCTTTTTAAGCAAGGAGCTCTCACGGGAACTAATAGAGTGAGAACTCACTCATTACTCCCCCTTCCCCCAGGGAGGGCATTAATCCATTCATAAGGGATCCACTCCCATGACTCAATCAGTTTCCAACACTGTCACATTGGAGATCAAATTTCCACATGAGTTTTGGAGGGGACAACACATCCAAACTCCATCACCTCCCATCACAGCACGTCGCCCTGTCTGTCTCCACTACTACTCCCAATATATATATAGCATCACTTTGGTGAAATCTGTTCTCAGTGTCTGTGATTACATAAACTCTGTTTATAGCTGAACCTTAAATTAGTGATGACTAAAGATGATTACTTTTAATTCCCTGCACTACTTTTTGTTTTCTCTGACATTAATAATTGCCTTGCTTTTTTAGTTTTTTATTATTACTATTTCAAACCCAAATTCTTCCCCAGCAGTGTAAATCTCCTTTGTATGTTCATGGATGTGAGGTATTCTATCGATCACCTCCTTGGAGAACTCTCCACATGTCTCACCCAACCCTTACCCTGGGAACCTGGTGCACAGCTCTCCTTGGGTGCCCTCACCATTTTCCTGGGGAGGCAGCTCCTACCTCTTATGCTGGCTTTTCCCTGTTTTCTGTATCCCAAATCACTTTTCTTTCTTGATTTACTCTGGTTTTGGTAGAGCATTCCCTCTCATAGCTTCTTGAGAAAGGGTGCATGGGAAGTAAATTATTTGAGAACCTGACTTCTGTTCCCTCTCTGGAAGTTTATAGGATTTTTCCCTTTGTTCCCAGTGTTCTGAAATTTCATGATAATGGGCCTTTTCATGAATTCGTTTTCATCCATCATGCTGGGCACTTGAAGGGCTTTTTCAGTAAGGAATCTCATGCCATTCAGTTCTGGGAAATTTCCTTTACTTATTTGGATGGCGTCTTCCCCACGTTTTTGTCCTGTTTGCTCTTTCTAGAATTTATTATTCAGGTGTAGGATCTTCTGGACCAACAATTCAATTTTCTTATTTTCTCTTTTCTGTGTTATATCGTTTTCTTGGAAGAAACTTTATATTCTAATCCCTCTACTGAATTCTTTTCATTTCTGCTATCGTATTTAATTTCCAAAAGCTCTTTTTTCACCTCTAAATTATCCTTTTTTATATAGTATTCTGTAATTGTTTCATGGTTGCAGTATCTTATCTGAGTATATTAGTGATATTTTTGATTTTTTTTTTTTTTACTAAGTTTACTTTTCCCTTTATAGCCTCTGTTGCGTTTTTACATTTGTTTTTGTCTCTGTTTTCCATGCTAGAGGCTCTCTTCTGATGCTGCATGCTGCTTATTTGGCTGCTCTTAAGAGTAGGGGCATGTGGATGGGGTTGGTCAACCTGTAGGTGATACCTACCCACACCTACAATTAGGGGAATCTGGCTGGGCTGTGTCATTGGCGAAAACCTCAGTGGCAGTGTCTTTAGGGCTTTCCTCATGGGCTAGTCATATTCCCTGTAGAAGAAGTATCTTCTGAGCTCTTTCCTGGAAGATAAAGGTTGGTTGCTAGCTTCCAGGAGCCAGGTGGGAAAAGAAGGCAGGAATGCCTAGCGTTCAGTATATAAATGCTCACCTAACATTTATAATTATAATAAGTACCCTGACCCTGAACGATAAAGGTGCTTATTATGAGGGTACCCTTACTTAATGACCCCAGTTAGAGACACTCTGTTTTACCCTCTCTAGAGAACATACCTCCCATGCCCTGGGTTCAGTAGCCTGACTACAGGGAGCTGCGAGGGATGGAGTTACACAGAATTTCAGCCTATCTACTTTATTTTAACCACTCCTTCCCCTATACCTCTGCTACCAGAAGTACTTGTTGATACCAGTTTCTTAGGCTTTCATGGGACTGGGTGTTAGTCAATCTGCTTCTCAGTTTTTATTACTGTATATGTGTGTGTATGCTTGTATGTATGTTTTTGATGAACTATTTGGAAGTAAGTTGCAGGCATTATGATACTTCATAAAAATTCAACTGTGCATCTCATATGAACAAGAATGATCTCCTACATAACCACAATACTGTCATCACACCTCAGAAAATTGGCTTTATGCAATAATACTATTTAATGTATAATTCATGTCTAAATGACCCCACTTGTCTCAAAATGTATCATATTTTTAAAGTACTTATTAGAATTTCTCTGTGAGTGGGCCGGCCCGGTGGCGCACTGCTGCAGTGCGCCGCTTGGGAAATGCGGCGGCGCTCCCGCCAAGGGTTCGGGTCCCACATGCAGACCGGCCGCTCACTGGCTGAGCGAGGTGTGGGGGCAACACCGAGGGTTGCGATCCCGTTGCCAGTCCCGGTCCGGTACGGGTGCGACACTGAGGGTTGCGATCTGTTGCCAGTCACAAAAAAAGAGACAAAAAGGAAAAAAAAAAAAAAAAGAATTTCTCTGTGAGAAAGATTATATTTGTTCATATCTTGCAGATAATAAAAATAAGATCCCAAAATAGTAAGCATGAACTAATATGCAGTAAATAATTTGCCAGCTATTGTTGACACATGGCTTCTTGCATCTACAACCTTGGAAACCACTTGGGTTTTGAGCCAGCTATGGCATGAGGGCCCAATTTGGCAGCCTAATGGGCCTACCTTATTGTAGAATGGTTCTTTAATTCTACAATTCTATGATTTGACTCTTATAAAGTGCTTTTAATATTACTGTAATTTTGGGAGACTTTTAATTTGGGCCTACTCTTTCCTAAAAATCTCTATTTCTAGAGTTAACCTGGTGCTTGTCAAACTGGTGGAGTTCTTGGACTGTAGGATTAGGTGTGAGGCTACCATAATATTGGCATTTGCCTCTCTTGGGGGTCATTGAAATTAAATTTCTTTACTGCAGAATGGTTGGGTGCTGTGCTCAAAGTACAAATAGCCTAAGAAATCCCCATGTAAACTGAAATGACTGCTTTAGTATGAAGTTTTTTTGTTATAGTGAATTATGTAAGGGTCTTAAGTATATTTCATTTTATTTTTTGTTTTATTTTAACATGTACATATTTGGGGGGTACAGTGTGTTATTAAGGAACGCTTCAACTCTGGTAACCAGTAAATTGACAAAGAGTGGAGAAAAGGGGAAATTTGGGTAGAGGGAGAGGGAGTGGGGAAAAGGATAGAGCTGGAGAGAGAGAGAGAGAGAGAGAGGGAGGAGAGGGAGAGACAGGGGCAGAGTGGAGGGGAGTGTCTCACAGTTAAGGGACACATTTGCTGAAAGCATTTGCGAAGCCTAACCAACTGAATCTCAGCACTTTCTGGATCTGGGACACCTTCTCAGACTAGTTTAACTTGATAATTCCTCAGTCAGCAGTCAGGGAAGAGGGACCCAGAGAGCAGCCCATTTCAGCTCCTGCATTGAACAGAGGAGCTAAACTCTTTGCTCTTGTGCATTTACCTTCTTCTACTTCTCCCCTTCCTGTGCTCCCCCCACCCCCGCACCCCCAGCAGGCAACGGGCTGCCTACACTCAGGAATGTTCAGGGCTTCTGCGAATGCTGGAAAAGCTGGTGCTCCTGGTTCCTCATTGCTCAGGCCTTGGCTGCTGGGCCAACCGTCTCACCAGGGTTCCTGTTAGCATCTGTCATCTTAGAAGACTGTGAGGTGGGGCGGGCATTGTAATTTGCAGTCTCCCATTAACATGCATATCTACCTGCTGTATAGGCATGCTGGGGTACATCTTTTTTCTTTCTTAGCATCTCCCTACCATCCCAGCACTGCGACCTGGGCAGTTGGGTGGTAGTTATTCTTGTTTTCATTCTGCCACTCTAGTTAGATGGTGTTCAAATTTGTATACAGAGAAATAACTGCTGTCTTTCTTTGGATTGTAAAAAGTCAGAAAAGAGATGTGACCATGTGAATAAATAGGAAATTTTGTCTTTCATCATTATTGTGAAACCAGAATTCTCTGTTTCCTGAACTCACAAAGCCTAGTTATTTAAGCCCCAGATGTTTTTATTCAACTTTGTATTGACATCCAAAAAATACACAGATCATGAGAGTGCATGCAGCTTGATACATTTACACAAACTAAACACACTCCGTACCAGCATTTAAAAAAAAATCACTATAAGCCTTATCAAATAGATCATTTCTGGGGTCAGAAAGCTCTGTGGTGCCCCCTCTCAGCCAGTGCCTCCCCAGGGCAACTACTCTCTTGACTTCTAAAAGTGCAGATTAGTTTGAGCTGTTTTTCATATATTACCTGAACCAAGCTCCAAGTATTTGACAAGTGAAACAAAATTTAAAATATTACAAAAGGAGAGGGACTTAGGAACTCATATATCCCTTGGGATTGGGGGCAATCCAGGATAAGAAAAGATAAAGCTTGGGCCAGCCCGGTGGCGCACTGCTATAGTGCGCCGCTTGGGAAGCGCGGTGGCGCTCCCGCTGAGGGTTCGGATCCCACATACAGACCGGTTCACTGGCTGAGCGAGGCGCGGGAGCAACACCGAGGGTTGCGATCCCGTTGCCGGTCCCGGTCTGGTGCGGGGGCGACACTGAGGGTTGCGATCCGTTGCCGGACACGGAAAAAGACAAAAAAGAAAAAAAAAAGAAAAAGAAAAGATAAAGCAGAGTCAAAGCAGTGTTTTTTCTCTCTCTTTCTGAAACGAATGTTAACATTACAGCTGTGAGTCACAGGCTGAGAGTGACAGAGGAGCCCAGAGTGCCTGTGGAGAACATCATACAGAACTTCCACATCACAAAGGTTACATGCTTGGGAGAATTTTAAATGTTTGCTTTCTGACTTCCAAGAGGTCTTTTATTTGTGTGTGTGTGTGTGCGCGTGCGTGCGTGCGTATGTGTGTGTGTGCGCGCAGAATGTCACTGGCTCCCTTTTCCTGTCTTCATGTAGGGTGGGGGAGACCCCACCTTCCGGACTGGTGATCCTGAGGAGCAGGGCAGAATTGGGCAAGGGCCATGTGCTGGATGAGTGATGGCCAGCTGGGTCCCTTACATGTTCCATGAATTGTATCTTCCTTGATTGGGTTGTTCTATGAAAACAGTCTTTGTGTCTTCAACAGACTCTAGCAGTTTCATCAGCCAGAACTAATCTTAAAATTTGGCTTTCCCAGTGTTATTGATTATACTCAAGTCACTGGTTAGTGCCATGAAATAACACGTGAAGGAGGTAAAGTTCTCAAGTGAAGATTTAAACTTACTTGCAACACTCTTTTATTTCTAAAATTATTTGAACTTTAATAATTTACTGGTTTTCTTTATGAAATCCATTTTGCTCCATAAAGTGAAAGAATATTTTGTAGAGCCTGGCATGAAAGAAATTGCTGACTCTTTTAGTGGTTTTCTCTAGAAAAATGAAAAGTGCTTTACTTGTATCACTTTATATTCTAAGTACTCCAGTGAGATAATGTTTAAATGGGACAAATAATTTATTAAAGGTCAATAGTAAAATGGAACTAAATTTTTGTTATATAAATAATTACTAATTTTGCACTAGGAAAATAATGTCTTTTATCAAGGAACAGTTATGGGGCTTTATCTTGCCCTCCAGAGATACTCATAATTCAGTTACTCTCTTTTGGGGAAGAATTAGTTTTCTAAACCATATTTTCCTGCTTTTATAAGATCTTTTATTTAGTACCTAAAATGCTTATAACAATTCAGACATCTGTAAAAGGAGCCATTTACTTTATCCGTATTATTGTTACTTGGCAGACTTCTTGATCTTTAAAGTTTGAGTTTCAAGGTACCTGCAGAGTACAGACATTTTGAAATAAGAAATCTTCATATCTACCTTCGATACTGAGATTATCTTTAAGTATTTTACCTTTCCTAATTATATATAAAGCACTTATTTTCTTGTATTATACTCAGCTTTTCTGTTACTGTTAGCTTCATGGCCTCAGTCACATTCTTATGAATATTTTGCAACAAATCTGGGAGACTAAAAAGTAAAGTGACTCTTAAAGAAATATAGCACAGTTTATACAGACAAATGAGTGTTATCTTTATTAGAAGAAACCCCTCAGAATCTAGTATCTTTATTCCAACAAGGTTGTGTCAGAGGCCAGGTCCTTGACTTTTGAGAAGAGTTAAAAATAATTTAGAACCAAATCTGATAAATAAGAGGTGAGCAACTTGCATAGGGAAGGGAGCTAGCATTTCTTGAGCTTTCATAACAGGAATTGTATTAATGTTAACATCCCTCTAAGGAGGGATCTACTGTCTCTGTATTATAGTTGGGCAAGTTCGGAGAAATAAATGGCCTGACCAAGTTCATATAACTAGTAAGTGGATTCCACTCTAGGTCTGTTTGAGCCCAAAGTGTTTTACTCTTTCTTCTGTATTATGCTGATTATTTTATTTACCCTTTTTCTAATTGTGTCTAGAAATATGTATCTCCAAAGCCATAAAATGAATTATTTATCGGCTGGCTGGTTAGCTCAGTTGGTAAGAGCACAGCTTTATAACCCCAAGGTCATGGGTTCAGATCCCTGTACCGGCCAGCGGCCAAAAGAAAAAAAACCTCATTATTTAATGTTGTCTGGTTTATAAACTGATTCTGCATCCAAATAAACAGGAAATAAAAAATATTTTGATGAATGTCATTGTTATTGAAATAAGCCACTTCTTGGAAGGAGAACTCTAATATAGATGTCTACGTTTTATTAGCATATGTGAGAAAACAAATGTTTGAGATTATGTGTCATACATGATAGATAACCTTACACATTTCTCCAAGTTATCTGACTTGAGTTTCACACTAAATTAAAAAAAAAATGTTGATTAACTTATTGTACGGTTAGTCACTCATTTTACATATGATAGGCTGGCTGGTTAGCTCACTTGGGAAAGCATGGTGCTGGTAACATGAAGGTCATGGGTTCAGATCCCTGTACCAGCCAGCTGACAAAAAAAAAAAGCAAATATAATCACTTTACACATTATGGAAGTTGCTTTAGGAAGTTTAACTTGATTATTTTGGGTTAGAAAGCTAAAAGCAATTCCTGCCATAGGTTGCTTTTTCATAGAAAAATAATTGTGCTAAAGTTGGAGGCAGGAAGGATAGGACCACCAGCTAACACTAAAATTGGGAGCGCAGTCCTCTGTGAGGTTTTGGCACTGGGTTGGAGGCCACTGCTATTTAGAGGTTAGACCAGAGGGAGCTCTGGGTGGCACAGAGCTTGGTGCAAGTATGTTTTAAAGTCTTCAAGGAATTGGAATTTTGCCAGTACCGTTCCTTTTCTAAAGAGTATTAGCATAGAATTCTTGAGAGGTAAAAAATATAACATTTTTATATCATAAGTCCAAGACTTCTTGCTTTTACATTTTTGACTTTTTAATCTAAATTATTTAAAAACTTTGACACCATTTTAAAAATTCTTCTGTGGACCCCAAAATATATAAAGGTAGCACTTACATTTCACATAATTTTTGGCACATATAGGTGCCCAATAAATGTTTTCTGAACTAAATTGAACACAAAAATTTGCAAAGCATGTTAAGTACTTTATGGTTCTTAATTCTGTATCTTTTACAATATATCACATTAAGTAAGATGGCCAACCTGACAGTAGAGTCAAGAGGCCAGGGTAAAGCCAAGCCAGTAGGGCTTGTGCTCTTCCAGAAGGGTAAGGGTCAGCCCCAGGGTAATGAGTCTTATTTGAGACACAGAAACTCATGCCAATCACTAAAAAAATCTCTTTCCAGAAACCAAAAGCTCTGGCATCTCCCAGCACAGAAGAGGATCACTGCGTTTCCTTTCCTAAGCCCCCAGTGGACCCCGCGAAGATCAGAAGAATCAGCAGTGCCCGGGCGCGCTTATTCAGGGCCGCCTCCCAAGGGGCTCTTCTGCCAGACAGATCCCTTCCTCCCGCTGAGTGTAAGGCCCAGTTACATCTTTTCATCTCTGGGGACAGGCATGTTTCTTAAATTTGTTCACAAAAGCTATTTTTATATGATTTTTCCTAACCTTGGATGATTTTTACATTAACTGAGTTAATATTGGGCAAAAACTATTAAGAAACATTGTTCATGTAGTTTTCTGAGTGTTTATAAAGAATACATAAATATCACAGTTTTTTAAAAGCATTATTTGATAAGAAATGAATATTAGGATAAATGTTTCCCTGTGGATGGATGGTTCACATATATCGGAAATAAATGATTTTTAAATTGGAATTTAAAAGTTGTTAATTTCTTTAGAAATCAATGAGTATTATAAGATTCTTATGATGTGGACTAAGCTTAGGTCTTTGAAAATGCCCTTCTGATCCCATGTGAATATGTACGAAAAAGTTAGGTGGGACTTTTCCTGCTGCCACAGAACTGCTGGGAGATTTCTAAACTGGAACAGAGAGGCTAAAGACCTCACATTCTAAGCAGTAACACCACCAACTGGAATCACCCCCAATCCAGGGCATACTAAGCGTTTTTCACACTGCAGGAAAGGACCCACTAGTGGGATGACAATCAATTTAGTGGATCACACCAGCATTTTAAAAAAATGAACTAGTATAAAATATAATGGGAAATATCAGGGTACATTGCATACAATAATGGTAAGTATTGCTGTAGGAGCCCTTATTTTTGTCTTTGGTGTGTGTTCAGGGTCATATCATAAATTGATTTATTACTGTGTGTGGTCCAAGGAGTTGGAAAACAACTCTACCAGGAGCTGAGAGAACTGGCCCTCCCTCAGTCAGCAAGGATTGGTGAAAAGGGCTGGGCTTACAGAGAGACAGAGACAGTCTGGAGATGGATCTCAAAGATTACAAGCCTCCACCTGAGCACCACGCTTGTTTGATATACAAGAATTTTCTTTTAGGGCCGGCCCGTGGCTCACTTTGGGAGAGTGTGGTGCTGATGACACCAAGGCCCTGGGTTCGGATCCTATATAGGGATGGCCGGTTCGCTCACTGGCTGAGCGTGGTGCTGACAACACCAAGTCAAGGGTTAAGATCCCCTTACCGGTCATCTTTAAAAAAAAAAAAATTATTTTAATTAGTCTCCAACATTAAAAAGTAGAAGAATCTCATGGAAGAGTCCAGATTTATGACTTCTTGTGAAAAAGCAGGAGATCTGGCAACACTGGGTCTCCATTCGGTGTAGCCCCAAAGGGGAATGATTGGGGCTGAGTAGTGCCCACCCTGGTAGTAGTGCCCACATGCAGTTTGCCATGTCCCCCAGCCTGCTTCACTCATCTGTCTGATTCCTGATGTAGATGAAGTGGTGGGATTAAGGAGACAAAACAAAGAGGAAGTGCAGGGTGTGCACGTCACACCGGGATGCCTTAACCAAGTGTATTATTAGGCAACTTGCTTTATCTTGATATCCCAATTTATTTCTTTTCTAACACAGTCAAGCTGACATTTATTGAGCCCCTGCTAAGTGCTGGGCACCATCCTAGGCCAACAGAGTCCCACCTTTGGAGAGCTTACAATCTAGTGAGGGGAGATAGACAGTAAGGGGAAGAAATATATAGTGTTCTGACGAATGCTGTGAAGATCACAAAACAATGGGATAGAGAGTGACCGTGGCAGGTGTAATTTGCTTTGGCTAGGTGGCTCTGAAAGGTGTCTTCGAGGAGGTGACATCTAAGTTGAAATGTGAATAATGAGAAGGAGGCAGCCGTGTAGAATCTGTGAACAGAGTGCAGCAAGCCCAGGTGGTGGAGGCCCTAGGGCCCACGGGGCTGCCAGGTGGGTGGCGGGGGAAGGTGCAGGGAGCTGAGGCCAGAGGGCTGGCAGGGCCCTGGAACGTGAGAAATGGACTGGACTTCGTTCTGCTAGCTGTGAAAAGCCAGAGCAGGGTTAGGTAAAGGGAGAGACAACCTGACATATTTTTTCTTCACCAGCAGTTGTCAACTGGCTGCACATTAGAATCACCTGAGGAACTTTTCAAAAGGGGTCCTGTGTCAGAGCAGTTAAGTCAGCAAGGATTGGTATTGCAGGAGCAAAGTGCCTGCCAGGGTGGGAGGGGAGGGGAGGGGCTCTGGAGCCCAAGGTCACGTCTTATCCACAGGGACGGCAGAAATGGTACCCTGTAGTTTCTTTTATGTTCTTGGTTCTGAGCTTGAATGCGGTGGACGTGTTTAATGCTCGTGACTCCTGGTAGCTCACATTTGAAACTCCGCTGCTTGCCGAGCTGTTTGTGTTGTTTTGATGGTGACTGCAGAGGCCAGGGTTTACCCCCACACTCATCCTTGGGCCTTGGTGCTTCCTCAGCGGCCGAACTCCTTCCCCACTGGGCTGCCTGGCCCTTGCCTGCATGGCCATGGCTCCTCCATCGTGCTCTGGGAGGTGCCCTCTGCAGTTGTCATTTCCCAGTGCTGAGGCCAGCCTCCCACCTCCAAGATGAACCAAAGCATGTCTTTGTCGCATTTCTTTTATCCACCTGTTTGCAGTCGCCCCGTTTCACCATTGGGATCATCTGTGAGATCTGTGTCAGCACTCAGGAAATAATGGCATTAAAAAGTCATTGTCATTTTAAAAGCACATATTGCCCAATGTAAAAAAATAGTTGAGCTCTCCAGTTTTGATTGTTTTCTCACTGTCATTTGTACAAGAGCTCCCTGGGTTTTGTTTCAGAAAAGGTAGTTACCTTTGTTGGGTAACTGAGGCTGTAAAGGCAACCGTGCCTGGAGAAAGAGGGTGTGTCCCTTCCCTTGGTGTGAAGTCATTTGTAGCTAACACTACCCCTCAGGCAGGGCTGGGGTGTGGTGCAGGTTTGAATTCCTGGTTTGAGAAAATGAAAGGGGAAGAGATGTGTGGAGTCACCTCCGTAAGGCCAGCAGTGTACTTGCTTTGTGTTCAGGTGGGTGTTTTGGCTGGAGGTGGCACTGTTGTTGTTAATGCCTCCCAGTTATTCAAGCCAGAAAGAGACCTCAGTGCGGTTGCCACCTTCTCTCCAATCCTTGTCAAACTTTCCATCACCAAGCGCTCTATTGAGTCTGCGTTACCCTCTCCTGCACTGCCACGCTGTCTTTATCCCCTCTTGCCTCATCCTGTCCCTCTCTTGCTCCTCTTAAATCTGCCCTCAGCTCACTGGGGTGCTGCGGGGGCAGGGGGATGGGTGCTGCAGGTGGGTGGGTGCAGCGACCCTCAGCCCTTGGAGCAGCCGGCAGAGTCTGGGGAAGCTGAGCTTCCCACCAGCCACGGCTGTGAGCAGCAGCCTTACCCCTTCATCCTAGTGGACCATGAAAAATGACCATTTTCTGCGTGTTCCATAAAGCAGAGGAGGTCGGGAAGCAAACAAAAATCAGATAGAATCATCTCCTTGCCAGCATTTGCCAAACTGACTTCCAGGGAATTCCAGGGAACTCTTTTGGCAAAACGTTAATAGCTTTTCCTTGGAAAAAGTATTCAGTGCTCAAATAAGTCAGGGAAGCGCTGGCTGCTTCTTGCCCTCTTGGACAGTCATGGTGCACATGAGCACAGGAAAGGGCTGGTGAAGCCATGTGGCAAAACATCCTGGTTCATTTTAATTCAACTCAGCATTTCACAACCCTACCTGACTGGAATCTGTCTTTTGGGAACACAGTTTGGAAAACACTAACCTACCACAGAAATCTGCAAACTTTTTCAGTAGAGGGCCAGACAGTAGATATTTCATACCTTGTGGTCTGTATGATCTCTGTTTAACCTATTCAACTCTGCCAGTGGAGACTTGGGGCAGCCATCAATTGACTTACAGCCACTGAAATTTGAATTTCATATAATTTTCACTTGTCACAAAATACTGTTTTTAAATTTTTTTTCCCCAACCATTGAAAAATATAAAAACCATTCTTAGTTCTCAGGCTGCACAAACACAGGAGGCAGGCAGATCTGGTGGGGCTGTAGTTTGTGGACCCTGGCTCAGGGGATGCAGTCCCAGCCCCCTTGCCTGTAAGCTCTTTTGGGATCTGGCCCCAGCCTGATGTCCCAGGCCCTCCTCTCACCTCTCTGCCGCCTGCCCCCATGGTCAGTGCACCAGCAGAATGGGACCTCTTGCAGTTCCCCACACCCTTCTGGTTGTTTAAAGCCTCAGGAGGGACCTGCTGTGTAATTTGATGGGCCTGTACAAAATGAGAATGTGGGGCTCTTTGTGCATGTCCACGCACAAAGCTGGTTTTGACCCCTGACTTTTGTTCCTTTTTCTTTGAACTGTTTGCCTCCCATTAACCCTTCAAAATGCTTCTCAGCCTCCTCTATGAGTCTTTCCCTGACCAACTCCCAACCCCTCACAGCTTCTGCACTCTCTATGCCTCCTCCTTACCTGGCTGGAGCCGCACGGTACTGCATTTGTATCTTTGCAGATCTGCCTCTTTTTCTCTCCTTCTAGACTGAGCAACGTCAGTAGGAAAAGCGGTTTTCTCTATATGTAGCCCGAGAGCCTAAAACAGGTGTGGTGTGTAGCAGGTATCAAAAAAAAAATCAGTGAAACTGAACTGTCCCTGCTTGGTAATGCTGTTGGTGGCTGTCTTCTTTGGAAGTCTGCCCATGATCCATTATAAAATTAATACAGTGTGCTGCAAATATTTGCCAGGGAGACATAGAACATCGGTACACATGCTCGGTTTAATGGTGGACATCCATCAGGGGTAAGAGTGAACCCCAGAGCAGCTCTTCATTGTAGTCATAACCAACAAGCTCACTCCAATAGATTGTGAAGAAGAAAGGTGTGTTTCCCCTTCTAGAAGCTCCACAATGGCTGGGACTTCTTGGTCAGCACAGGATCACCCGCTCATGGAACAGCACCTGGCACATAGTAGTGGGTGCTTAATAAATATTTATGGAGTGAATGAATGAAAGAAACAAACACTAACATATGGCGATAGGCTAAAAGTACTTTATAATCTAAAACAGAATGTGTGCTTTGTAATTCAGTAGTAATGTTATCAAAGATTGCATGGTGTTATGGATAGAGCTCTGGACCAAAAGTCAGGATCTTGGGTTCCAATAATAATAATGACAAAAACTTGTAGGTTTTTAATGTGGCACTGTTGTGCTAGCACCATATGAGTCACTCCGCTAAGCCACATTATTTAATTCTCACCACAGCTCCAGGAGGTGGGGACCATCAAAGAAGGTGAGAGAAAAGTTGAGCTACCTAAGCACATCACAAAGCTGGTGCTCCAGTAGCCTGTTCTCGAACCCAAGTCTGACGGCATAGGAAGCCTATGTTCTTCTCACCCTTATAGTCGTGGCTCTCCCTGTGACCTTAGGTCATGTAAGCTCATCCAAAAAATGAAGGTTAGGCTATCTAATCTGTAATATTCCTTTCAGCTTTAAAATTTAGTGTTTTGAAAGCAGGGAGCTTGGTCAGAGGGTGGTTTTGTTATTGTTAGTTTTTATTGGTTTCTTGGTTTCTAAATAAGTGCAGAAAAGGAAACCTTGAGTCATTTTGGAAAAACTTGCAAAACAGTATTTTTCTATATGAAGTTCATTCCCCCCCCCCACTATACTACGGGAGATTTTCTCTCTCTTCCCGTTTGACAAAATGTCTTAATACAGACTGGTGTCTAGTAGCAGCATAGATGATAAGCTATTTCTAATGTCAACTTACCGATAAAGAAGGTGTTGTATAGTAAGTTTAAGAATCTGCATTCATAAACACAATACACATTTGGGTTCAGAGACAGGATGTCTTGTTACAACTTTATGTTATTCCTCTTTGGAAAGCCTTCTAAGTGTTTCAGTGCCCTCCCTTCCCTTCCCATTGCGTGCTAGGCCTCCACGATCTGCCCCCACCCTCTGATCCCTCTTCCTCTTCTCCCTTCACACGCTGCAGTCCTGCTGATCCTTGAGCACCCCAGGTACACTCCTGCTGGGCTCTCTGCTTGACAGCCTGTGTCTCCTCACCTGTGCCTCATCACCTGATGGCTGATGCCTCGTCTCCATTAAAGGTTTACCCTCCCTGCCCTGCTCTGCCCTGCCCACCTGCCCCCATTTCCGTTTTGCTTTTTTCCATAGCACTTATTATCTTCTAACATATCATATACCATTTATTATGGTGTATTGCTTATTATCTGTTTATACCTGTTAGGGTATAAGCCCTATGAGGTCAGGGATCTCTATTTTGTCATTAAAGCATCCCAAGTGCCCAGGACAGTGCCTGACATTGGGGAGGCACTCAATACATTTTTTTTTTAATGAAAAATTACTAACATAATCAAATTCAGGAAGAAGAGTTATTGTTACCAGACACAGAGTACTTAGGAAGGCTAGGTAGTTCGTAAGCCTAAATTCAAGTGTTTGCCTTCAAGTAGACTCTAAGCTAATAGAAATAAGATCCTATTCATTTTTACCTGCAGATTTGATGGTGCCAAGCCCAAAAGAATGATGAGGTCTTATGGATGTCCAGAGAGGCCTTGGCTGTAAAATTCTACACTTGACTATAAGCAATGTATATTCTTAAATCATATAAGGTCTTAGACTGAAAAAAAAAAATTGAAAGGTAGTGATTCCTAAAATAAAAAATTGTTTGACAAAACATTTCTTTGGTTATTACAGCAAAGAAGACAGTGGAATCCAAAGAAACAGTTGTGATGGGGAACCCTATGGTGAAGATAAATGGGATTTATTTAACAAAATCAAATGCCATTGGCCACTTTAAGAGTCACCCACTGCAGCTGACTTACAATGGAGGCTTCAGCGAAATCAAGGAGCAAGAAATATTCAAAGGAGCAATGTCCTCATCGTCACATCTCACAAGTGGAGGGTCAGTATTCTTTTTATTCAATTTTCTGGTCAGGATAACTATCATTTACCAGTTTGTTCTCTATCTTATGTAAACGATTCATTTGCTTTTTCCCATTTGTATAAACAAGTTTTAAGTTAATAGTGCATGAGTAGGAGGGAGTTCTCATGGCTGAATGGAACTGATTTTACATCATTACCTAATTAATCCTCAGCAAAACTTTCATTCATAACTGCCAAAATGCTGCCTCTGTAGGACTGTCAGAATGAGGTTCAGTTGGACTGTTCCAGTCAGTCCTTGACTGAGGACTGAACATTCTATTTGTGTATTATTTGGGATTCTTTCCTGGCCTAGAATCTCCTGTTACCTCCCTTTGGGTTAGTCTACTGTTGTTAACTTCACAAGGGTAGACACTTATTTTATTTTCCAGTAGAAACGTGGATTACATACTTATTTTGCAAACTAGTGGTTAAAACAGTAGAGTCCGGTAGATTTCAATTATCTATGATATCCCTCTATTAACCCCTCATAAAAGAATGATTGGGAATTACTTTATTTCATACCACGCTCCTAGATAGGGCTTCCTTGAGAAGCAATTTTCCTACCATATTAACGATTTATGGAGAAATGTTCACTATATGGACCACATGAATTCTCTTCCTCTGTTGTTTTACTAAAGAAGTCTCAAATAACTGGAGGCTGGAGTAGGGAATACAGTGGAGAGAGCAGGCTCTGTTTTCCAGTCCCAGCCAGTAATGATGCTAAGATAGGCAGAAGATCTTGGACCGGACAGGGTCACTCGGTTAAAGATATTTTTTCTAGGACTTTCCATTGGGTCATCATGGACAACAGCCCACTTCGAATTTGCTTAACAAGATTACATTCCATGGGTCACTTTAAGACCGAGTACTTGTTGCAGTCACTTTAGATTTCAGGTCTGACTTTGGCTTGTACACATATAGTGTTCTTAAAACTTTTCCCCAAAGTGTCTGCTTGGCAGCTTGTTAGTTTAGCTCAACTGACCTTGTCTGCTGACTAGTCACACACACGGAATTTATATTAAGCAACCTAGTAGCTCTCGTAATGTCGCTTTGCATTTCAGAACATTTTTTAAATGGAAAGAAAAATGAAATGTCTCCTTAAGTGGAAGAGAATGACTTCAAATTGGGACTTTGGGAATTGAGCACAAAACATCAAACTGGCCATTGCAGACGAATCTTTTCCAGTTGGTGAATAAGAATAGGCTGTGGACCTCAGAGCTCAAACATAAAAGGCAGTAGGAAAACTTGGCATTTCTTTCAGTACTGAAGTAAAAAGGAAACATTTATCCTGCAGCATCCATCCTTACGGTAATGAAAGTTGACTAGAAAAACCAGACAAGAGCTATTTAATTTGCTTGTTGATTTTTGCAAACCTTCAGATGTTGCAGAATAATCTGGCAAGCCAGAGTTCATTGTGTCTTCCTCATTCTAGGACAGCAAGGGCATTTTCAGTTAAATATTTTATCCCATAAACAGCAGAGGACAAATCAATTAGGGACTGGAAGCAGTTCTTCCTGACTGTCCAAAATTATGAGGCGTTGGCAGCAGCAGTAATTGTTTTCTCTTTGTTTTGTTAGGATGGTTTTTGCATTGTATAATGATTGTGTCTGAGTTAGGTTTGCAATAGACCCTGGCAAGTTTAACTTTCAATAACATTTTTTCTTTATGAATCTTTACCTCCTTTAATCATTGGGTGGAATTTTGTTGAAGTGGTGCCAAAAAAAAGTTTATACAGTAGGATTAAAACAAACCAGAAAATGGAAACTCTTAGCAATTCTTTCATTAATTACATTTATGAATCAGTCTGGGACACTTGATAATTATTTCTTGTAAACATTTAAGTGAATAATTCCAAGAAATGATCTTTGCTATGCAGTAGAGTATTCCCAGTTTTGATGCTAGAGCCCTTCCCTCAATTAACATTTTTTCATCTTTAGACCATAAAGTGGAAAATGAAGGCTCTTGTTAGTGAGCTGGGCTGGCAGGAGAAGGGAGGAAAGGGAATTGAGATGACAATGGGTTGAAAAAGCATGAGCTGATCGTGGAAAGGGGACAGAGCAGTGAGGACACGCTCCCAGCGGAGGGTCCTCCCAGGCTGGTCTGGTGTGACAGCAGCCACCACCTTTGTGTTGGGGGTTTCTCTGGCTGGGGAGAGAAAGGAGCTGTTGATTTCAGTGAAGCAGCATTGATTTGTACACCCTTAATTTAAAGTCTGGATAATGGGATGGACTGGAGTTTAACTGTATGCTGTTTATGGTGGAAGAAGGATTTGCTAAGCAAGGTATCATTGCAGACAAGACATTGGGGACTATTTAACTTTCTGAAAGAGAACACTCTTTCCAGCCCTTGTGGAACTGTAATCCTCAAACCGTGTGCCACCAATACGACAATCTCTTTGTGTCCATTTAGGGACCATTGAAGGTTTGGGAGACCCCCTCCTCAGCAGCACTCCACTATTTCCTACTTTGCGTTAACAGATGGATTGAAAATACCCAAACTGCCATTAACAAAAAGTATGTGTATACATCTCCATCCATCCAGTGGTCCAATCTGATGAACCTTTTTATATGTCTGCTTAAAACCTCTCAAGCTTTCTGTGTAAATGTTGTTCAAACAGTCATGGTTTGGAACATGATCTTTAGAAGGAAAGCCCAAGAACAGTCAATTGGGGAGAGTCAAGAACTCTTCGCTGGGCTCCAGAATCTCTGTATTTAGGTTCAGTTCTCTCTCCGCCACTTTATTTAGCTGTATGCCCCTTGGCAAGTCTCTTAACACTTTTAGGGGCTCAGTTTTCTCATCTATGAAGTGGAAATAACCGTGCTCCTTCACTTCCATCTCCCCCTAGCCCTCACTGCAGGTTGTGGAATGATTACTAAAGCTTGGAAGCCTTATTCATAAACTATCACGTGCTCTTAATATTGATGGAATAAAAAGTAAGAAAAGGGGCTTCTGGTTAAAGGGGGCAAAGGAAAGGCATTCTGCAAAACTCAATGAAAGCAGCAAAGAATGAAAAATAGAGAAATAAATATCATCAATGAAACAGAAATAAATGGCTCTAACTCCATACAAAATGTGAAGCAAACTTTACACTGCAGTATGGGCTTGATATTTTTTGTGTGCCTGGCAAACTTCCCTTTGGGGAACAAGTCCTCTCTTGTATGATCAGTCCTGTTTGGAGGAGGTCTAACCCTGCCTTCCCTGCCCTCCTTCCCAGGGGTGGTTATGTGGCCCAGGGCTGGCTAATCAGAGTTCTCCAGCCCCCAGCTCTAGCTGCTTGTTCAGAGATGGGCACATGATCCAAGCCAGGCCAATCAAGTTCCTCCCTGGGACTTTCACCAAGGCCCTTGGGGGAAGTGCTCTTTCTGCAGGTTCACAAGCTATAAAGATGATGTGGTCTTGAAGCTAACAGAGGCCTTTTTACTGCCTCGTGGAGAGAGACTCTGAGAGGGAAGAGGCATATAAACAAACAGAGCCAAGGAATGGAAATAGTGATCAGGTTCAAGGATGATCTGTAAACCCCTAGATCCAGCTGTACCTGAAGCCATCACATCAGCTTGTAAACTGCTGTTTAATGAGCCAATATGTTCTTTTTTCTTTCTATTTATTTATTCTTCCTTCCTTCCTTCCTTTTTTTCTATTCCTCCCTTCCTCCCTCCCTCCTTGCTTTCTCTCTTTCCTTCCTTCCCTCCCTCCCTCTTTCCTTCCTTCCTCACCTCTCTTCCCTTTCTTTCCTTTTTTACCTTCCTTTTCTTTCTTTTTTCTTTTGACAGGGACAGTTTATAGTACTTCGGATTAGGTTTTTGTTACTTGGAACACTGCAATCAAAAGAGTCTAGTTAAACTGCCAGATTCTGTGAAACATAGATGAAAACAAGGGGTAATTTGAGAGTGGATACATACCTCCTCAGACCTTGAGCAAGAAACAGATTTCACTAAAAGTGAGCCTTTTAGTTCAGAAAGGTGTACCCAATAGTCTTTAATTAAAGAGATGATGTCTAAGGATGTGGGCAGGCCGCAGGAGAAGTGAGGATTCCCCTGTAAAAGACTCTGTTCAAGATCCAGATCATAAAGGGGGGTGGAAGGTGGGCACAGTACAGAGCTGAGGATGACACTCTCTCCTCATTACCTATAAGTCAGTCTGTATGTGTGTGTATTTGGGGGAGGGGGTTTGATAGATTAGAACTTAAGGAGCCTATCATGTAAAACAAGCTTTGTTGTTGTTGTTGTTGTTGTTTTAATGAGAGCTGATTGGTGTGGGGATCCAAACCCTTGACCTTGGTGCTTTATGTTTTCAGCCCCATGCTCTAACCAAGTGAGTGAGTTAACTGTCCAGCTATAAAAGGGCTTTTCTGTGAGTCATAGCAACCTGCTCCACACAAACTAAGGGACTACACGCTCCCAGATCAACAAAAGTAATGGATTTGGTGATTGGATATTCAGGAAAACTAAAGTTTAAGCTACAGAGTACCCCAGTTCTCTCCCTCTGTGGATCCTATTCAGCTTCAGCAAGTAAATAGCTCTGTTTAAAGATAAATAATATTGGGATGAGAACTAACATGGGACTTGAGCTTAGATATGGAAGAACATAACAAAAGACAGATGAAATAGGTCACAAAAAGTACTACCCTCCAAAAATCTGGAAAGAGTTCAAAACAATTTTCCATTGTCCCAAAGAAATTACAGGTAATGTGATCACTCTCTTTAAAAAAAAAAAAGGAAAAAAGCTCTTCTTTGGGTGACAAGAATTCAAATTAGAGATTATAAGCCCACATAAGGAGATGAAAACCAAGACTACAGTACTCAAAAAGGAAATGAAAAAAAAGTGTATAAACATGGAGGGGAAATCCACATTAGAATAAAAAATTAGAACAAAAATAGCTGGAAATGCAATTAGGCTTGGTGGACAGGCTAGAGGAAATCATACAAAAGAAGTAATAATAAAGTATGAAATTAATTAGAGAGATTGAGATAGATACAGAAG